CCCCCCCTCCCTCCCTCTCCCTCTCCCTCATATTATGTATATATGTTTGATTTTTGAAAGGCACGTCCTTTCCTTGAACACACATTACTCCCTCCATCTCTCAAGCCCTAACCCTATAAATTTGGAAGCATCACACACAAGTCACTTCCTATATCCTGTATCTATATTCTAGCTAGCTAGAAGCCATTTCTATATTCTACTTTTGTCCATGTAAGTGCCTAATTAACCACATTGTTATATTCTAATTCGCATTTATTTTATATCCATTATCTTCTGTTTTGCAATATTCTTGCTCGTGTCCTATGCTTTACCGTTGTGCGAAAGAGAGAGAGAGTCTCTGTGTATATGTACTTGTCAGTGTGTGAAGCTTCTATTTTCCAGTCCAATACTGAGCTCAGACAAGAATGCAAATTTTGATCAGTCTAATGATGTTCTTTGAAAAAGGGTTTTAGGATTTAAAGGCACCCTAAATTTATTGAGAACAAGAATTAATTATTTTTTCTTGGTAATTCCCTTTGGCTATTTTCTGTTACTTTTTTTTTTTTTTTTTTTTAAATGACTTTCATCGATCTGCATTTATATTTAAAATTCTTCCCAAAAGAAGGTTAAGTATACAATAGCAGCAAATTAAGTTAATTATTATTATTATTTTTTTATATATATTTTTTTTGCTAATATTCTTAAGTTTGAAAAAGCAGGGCTACTATCGAACAGTACTTGACCTCATTGGATGAAGAAATAGAGACATCTGATGACGTCTCAGAGCATTTGAACCAAGTAAGATATATTGTAGTGGGAAAAACATGAGTTCCATTCCATATGCATTGTCCTCGATTAAATTAAATTGTAGAATTTCTATTCTTATAATAATCTAAGGAAATATATATATCCAGTATATAAAGGCATAAACTCAGGTTCTTCAGCCTAGTTAACATGTCATTGAAATCTCATAATAGGGGACAGCCAAACAGAGACAACAAATCTCGACTATGTCAAGACTTTTTCTTCTTTCACTGCATTTTCTGGGTGCGTGGTAGAATTTTTTTGTCAACTGGAAGGCTAAATTAGAATTGAGCACAGCAATGTATAAACTCATTTCTCGGATCTTGCAAGTTTTAGTCAATAGAGCATATGATGAAGCGTTTTTCAAGGTGTGAGCGATATAGAAAACGATGTGAAGTTCTTCAGATGATTATCCATTTTCTGTCAGCACTGGAATTGGGGGTTTGTGTGGACATAATTCCATGGTTATGGTTCTATCAGATTATTTTTAATTATTTACTTTCTTCCACAGAAGATCACAGCATACCAACAAAAATAAGTTCCTGACAACACTATTAAGTTAATTTCCTGTCATTGATTAATTGCGAACTCATTAGAGAAGATACATGTATTTTATCTATGCAGGAATCCAGCAGCTAGCAGTGTACTTGTAAATAATATTTTCAGCCTTTCAGATGGAAGAAATTATAATTCTTTTGATATGACCTAAATTATCTTTTCTGGTGCCTCAGCCTTTCAGCATCAAAGAATCATCGTTCGAGCCACCATTCGAGGAGATGTATAAGCACCTTTTGCACAACTCATCGGAATTACCGCCTAAAGATAACCACGAGCAGCTCATTGTGGAGGAAATCGAGCTCCTGATGATCGATCTTGGCCGGTTGAACTTAAGCGAATTTGACAGAAAGGAGTGCAAGCAACAAATAGCCAAAGCTGCACAAGAATGGGGATTGTTCCAAGTTGTAGGCCATGGGATTTCTAAAGATATTCTGGATAAAATTAGATTAGAACAAATTAATCTCTTCAGAAAGCCATTTCATGAGAAGATAAATAGCAAAAAATTGAGTTCATTAGCAGGAAATTATATTTGGGGAACACCTTCAGCTACTTGTCTAGGACAGTTATCTTGGATAGAATCATTTCACATTCCCTTGGGAGACTTCTTGAGTTCAACCAATCTTACCAGTCTCAGGTAATTACAACTACAACGGTCTTCTGCTGCACAGTTTCTATATATTGCACATTGATTATGAGAAGTTGGTTGTGCTTGAAAGCAAGTTAAATTTACTTTTAATTGTTCTTTCAAACATTATTTCAAAGTTACTGTTTTTTACTAATAGAACTTATGGATTTTAAAAGTAAACTAAGCACAACCGAATATGCTCTCATGTTGACTTTTATGTGTACAGTTCAACCTAGGGTTACTTAGAGTAGTGATTTCTGTCATACTAAGATGCATAAGACGAGTTGGTAGATATTGGGTAGATTGATTTCTTGTTGGGAATGTTAGTATATCTATTTACTTTAGATGTAGTTAGATTGGAGAGACCAAAAAAAAATAATAATAATAATAAATAAATAAATAAATAAATAATTTAAAAAAATAAAAAAGTTGAACTATATGTAAAGTTACTCACATTTAGCAATAACAAAGTTAATTTGTTGTTGAGAGTGTGTTCTGGGCTAGGATAACAAATTGATTTAAGATTTAATCGACATTTGACAAGAGGTTAAATAATTAGTTGATTAATTATATATAGGTAATAAAAAATGAAATAAACATTAAGATTAAGCATACAAATCAAAAGATATGACTAAATTATAAATAATATAAAAATAATTTTATATTATTAATACTTGTAACTTAATTTGAATTTACTTTTGATCATATATCTATCAACCCTTTTGTAACTTCTTATAATTAAGCAATTTCACTTTATGATTCGATCAGCTCAACAATAGGACAATTATCAATGGAAATGTTTGAATTGGCAAATCTTTTGGCAAAAATTCTTGACAAGAAATTGGGTCATCATAAGCCAAACTTCTTCAAAGAATCTTGTTCCCCATTCAATTGCTACCTTCGGATGAATAGATATCCACCTTGTCCAATGCCACGTGGAATGTTCGGATTGGTGCCACATACTGACAGCAATTTCCTCACAATATTACTTCAAGATCATCAAATTGGAGGTTTACAATTTGTAAAAGATGGAAAATGGGTGACTGTGAAACTTAATTCCGAGTCCCTTATTGTTATCATCGGGGACTTGTTTCAGGTACATACACTTGAGAAATGAAACCCTTCCAAGGACTTGGGAATCGTTGAGACAATTCACAATTTCTTAACGAGTTTCTCATGAATTATGATTCTAAGTTTACCTCATTGCTAACGTAATGAAATAATATTTTAATTTTTTTCTAATCACTTTACTTGGATTTCGTTGGTGCAGGCACGGAGCAACGATACTTATAGAAGCATTGAACATCGAGTGATCACCAATGAGCTGAAAGAGAGATTTTCAACTTCGTATTTCTTGTGTCCATCCTATGAAACAATTATAAATAGTTGTGTTGAGCCTTCAGTTTACAGAAAATTTAGCTTTCAAGAATATAAAAAACAAGTCCAAGAGGATGTCAAAACGTTCGGTTATAAAGTAGGTCTTTCAAGGTTTCGATGAAAACTAGGTGTGTAAAAACATTAGTTTTTTTATATAATTAATGTGTACTGAGATCTTGTGGATTTTTTGTGAAACTAAGAACTATGGGAACTAGAAACATATATGAGAAAAACTTAGAAGTCTCTGTAAAGTCGTAGTTTTGGGTAAAGAACAACTTAGTGTTGGGAAATAAAACAAATCAATGTAATATATATGACACGATATAAAGTATATAATCGCAAACAAACAACAAGATAAAAGACAAAGAATTAATTGGTAGAGGAACGATTTATTCAATTGAAAAATATGGAGAAAATAAATACAATAACTGTGCTTACACAATTATTCTGTATTTCAGTAATACAAGACCTGTGAAAAAGGTCTATTATTTATAGGGTAGTATGCCAAGCCATAGAAATACCACAAAAATGGACACAACATAATAAATAATGTGGAATAAAGTAAACAATATTTTTTCAAAAAATCCAACCTTATTTGGGTAAAAAAATCCAACACTTTGAAGGGGTTCAATAGGTTAATGCTGCCACAAACTTTCCAAATTCATTCAATTTTTTGGGTATATTCAAAGTCGAATTCTAGTTTTCTAGTACTATTCATGATTGTATTGAAACGTTTATATAAGTGACGTTTCTTGAGAAAGTGCAACAACTTCAAACACAGAAAATCAATCACATTGACAGTTAATCAAAATGGTTAATCTGAAATTATGTTTTCTGCAACGTCCTCATTCGAGCATGTGTATAAACAAATTATTAAAATAGAAACAATGGAATATAAATTGAAATCAACACATGAAATAGTATGAAATCAGGATAAATAATCATCTCAAGATTTAATCAAGGTAAATCTCAAAGAGAAAAATCCGCGAACCCCATGCCACGAATAAGTAATCCACTGTGAAATCAGGATTTAATCATCTCAAGATTTAAAATTGCAAATAGTGTTAAGCACGTTGGTGAATAAACTATAAATCCAATAAACAAACAGAATTAAATGACAATAACTACTTTTTAGACTGTCAACAGAATACAATCAAATTCAGCAATCTTAATCTTGCGCAAAAGTATTTGAATTTCTTCCATAAATTGGAATAAAAACCTCATTATATATATATATATATACACACACACATTCTTCGTTAATCATTATTTCATAACACATTTTTTCAAATTACTGAGGGCTCAAACAGGCCTTAGTAGTTTAGATTCCTTATTGTCTCCTACTTTCACCATCTAAGACATTATAATAAGCAGGGGCGGACGCACATGGGGTCATTTGGGTCAATTTTTTTTTTCAGTCAGATCGAACTCACCCTTTTCATCTTGATCTTGTACACAATGTTGTGTTAGATATTCAGGCAATAATTCTTTCTAGCAAAAATCTTTCAACTCTTGAGAAACCTTCAAAAGGGCCCATGTGGAAAGGAGTAATATTTGAAGATACAGCACCGACCTTAAAGAAAACTCTAGTCTAGAGAAAAATATAAAGTGCAGCCCATTTCTTGGGCCTTCTTCTTCAAGCAGTTGGGAACAATCCAGAAAAGCTGCTAAATCCACCACCAATTGCAAGACTAATTTAACCCATTTTCAATGCCTTATTGGAAGAAACTAGAAGGCAATTTCACTGACATTGTTGAGTATAAATAGGAGTCTCAATCAACCATTATAGTGTATGCAGAGGGTGAGAAGAGTAGAGAAAGAGAAATAGTGATAAAAGAGTTGTGTGAGAGAAATTGAGAGAGACCGTGAGTGGAGGAATTTGCCAATATATAATATAGAGCGAATGGTGGTGAGATAAGAGAAAAGCAGCACATAGAGAGAGAAGAAAGAATTGAGGGAATAGTTAGAGAAAATGGTATGAATGTATTGTGTATGTGAGTTATAGTGGAGCGGCGGTATGAAAAAAGTTGTGTAGAGATATTAGGCGTGTAATTCCATTGTGTTGTATATTTTGTTAATAAAACAATATTTTCTTTGAGTTTTAAACTCAAAAATATTTGCATATATTGTTATTGTCATTTGTCATTTCTGTTGCATTCGTTGGATATCACATATTTGGTAATATCGTAGATGATGATATTCTTCTTTTACGTAAAAAACCCAATTGGTTTGTTGCAATGGCAAACATGTTTTTCATGTAATTAGAAGCTATAGGATGATTTTTTTCGAAAATTTCTTTTTCCAAGTTATTCGCCGAGTTATATTTGTTTAAGTTTATCGTTCACAAAATTATCTTTCGAATTAAAATCACCGCAAGTGTACTGTTCATTAACAAGTAATAAAGTAGATTTTGAATCCAAGTATCGTCCCACAGAGATTGTATTAGTTTAAATTCAAATTATCTTTGCCTTAACCGAAACAATAGAACTTCGTGATTCTTCTCTAACTAAATTATGATCTAATGATCTACTTATAAATGCAAGGCCTAAATTAACTAAACTAAATGCGAGATTATAACTAAATGCAAGTTTTATAAAAATATGATGAAGAAACGCGTATTAGGATCCTGAATCTCTTTATACCAATCCTCTTTAACTCGAAATTTATGAATTTGACAACACAATTCAATTATGAAGATCAACATTCCTAAATTGTTTAACAATCCCTCTTGGGGAGGATTAAGCATATTTTTACATGTGACCCAACTATACTTTTATGACGGATATGAATATTTAAAAATGCATTAATGTATATTTCTATCCCCCTATTGGACTCTACGATAATTGACACAATGTCTAACTTATTTTCCATCTTTCGAGGATAAAACAAGTTACAGAACTCATGCAATTAGTGATTAAGTAATTGTAGAGAAAATTAAATCTATGGCAATTATTCAACAATTGAAAATATGTTTATACGTCAAAATAAATAAAATTAAGATTTAAAAGTTCATAATATAAGTTTCATCTTAAGCACAAAAATATTTATCCTAACTTGCTAATGGAAAGAAACAAATAAAAGTACGAATTAATTAATTCCGTCTGTGTCCAATTTCCAACTCTGCTGCCACTTCTATCTCTCTCGGCGTGTGTGCGTATACATATAATCTCCTCAACGGCAGCCCGTTTTTACCCTTTTCTTCTGTCGAGTGCACCTTTGTATATAAATTTCAAGCAGCCGCCACTTGTATTTTTTTCTCCCCACCAGCCGAGATTCTTGTTTATATAATCCTCCCGCAGTCTGCATTAATTTCTCCCTCTTTCTGGCCGTGTGTGTATATTTATATGCCGGTGGTGCTAGTGGTACACAGGGGTGTACCTAAGCGTGTACACCCCTCTCACATGGGGTGTGGGGTCCACTCGAATAAATGTTTTTTATTCGAGTGGACCCCACACCCCATGTGAGGGGGATGTACACCCTTAGGTACATTCTATTATGTACCACTAGCATTTTTCTTTATATGCAGGCCCACATTTTTATTTTTATTTTCAATTGCCAGCAAGTTGATTGGTTTATTGTTGGGAAAAATTTATAAGTAAAAGTTTAAGTATCACACATTTCAAAAATCAAGAAAATAAGTTTCAAATTTTAAAAATTAGATTTTTATTAAAATTTATTTATGATTTAATTAATTTATTTATTAATTAAATATATTTAAATCACAGATCTAGACAATTTTATCACAAATTAATGATTGAGTCAGTCACTAAATCAGAAAATTTATATAACAAATTATTTTACCTCCATAATTTTCAAAAATTTTATAAATCACAATTTGTTTATCGATCATAAATAAAAAAAAATTATAAATCACAATTGATTTATTGGTAAAAAATCACAAATATTATAAGTCACAACTTATTATACAGTCACAAATCAAAATTTTTATTGGTTACAACACATTTATTCACTGCAAATTATTAGATTAATTAGTCACAATTAATTTTTCGATCAAAAATTACTCAATTGTGAGTCGCAATCAAAAATTTTAGGTCACATATTATAAATTAACTAATTATTGGTGATAATCAACCAAATAATTGATCACAAGCATTCAACCCCATCTCAAATAGTCTTCATCGACCCTGTCGTTGCCAGCAACAACCACACCATCGTCGTCGTGACTACGGCCACACCCCACCGCGACTACAAGCACCCACCACCACCACAACTTGCGTCGTCACCACCACTAGCTTTCCACCAACAAATCAGATGCAAAACGCCATCATTTTTTGTCATCACCGTCGCCTCCACAATCACTGCCATCACCTCGTCCACCATTTGCAACCACCACCACACCCAAACGTTCCTTCACAGAATAGGCAAGAAGAAACCATCATGCCACATCACCACAACCACACCACTCATCCAACCACCGCACCCACAGTATCTCAGTAGCACTTCACTGTCGCAACCACCACACCTTCATTCCCTACCACCGCCACCGTAAACTTCCACCTCCGCATCACAGCACCACCACCATCGCTGCTACACAACAACACACTGCACACATGCCTGCTATACAACATCGATTGAAGTTTCCTATGGGACTGCGCTACGCCATCATTGCTAAATGCAACTGCTGCAAGCTACGCTACCCACAGCAGCAAGGCCATAAGCATTGCGGTGATCTTTTGTCAGCGAAGCTCTCTTGGTGGCGCAGTGGTCCTCCGTTGATCGTTGATGGTGTCAGAGAGAGAGGAGATAAGGGAGAAGGACAAGGAGAAGAGAGGGATTAGGGCTTGATATTGAAATTGCGGTGGGTAGATAGTATATAGGTTAGGTATGTAATTATTATAATTTTAATTTTTCGCCTAATTTTATCTAATAATATTATATTTATTAAAAAAAAATCTGATTTTTGAAAGAATAAACTTAGCATATGATTTATGAAATGAAATCTTTAAAAGTAGGTTTTTATGTAATTTCCACTTATTTTTTTCCAATTGCAAGTTCAAGTCCAAGTTGAAGTTGAGGCCCAATTCAATTCCAATTCCAATTCCAATTCCAATTGGTAGATGGCCCAAGTCATCTAATCTTTCAAATTAATGAAATTTGGTCATTCAAATTTTATAGTGTAGACTTCGATGCCCAAAATTGTCGATTTCAATCGATTTCATCAATCTTCCTTTCCAATTGCTTCAAATGAGTCCGTCACTAAAAATAAAAGAAAAATTAACCCAAGTTAAAATAAATAATTTATAATTTGACGACATAAAAATTTAATAATGTGGTTTAAATAAGTACACAAAACGCACTTATCATTTATTCATCTTTAGTTTTTCGAAAACTTAAGTATATGTCGTGTCGATGTTTAACACGATGGAAACTTGGGGCGCCGGGCAAGACCAAGAGAAGACGCTTGAATGCCAATGACTGAAGTCCATCGCCCTTGTAGTGCTTGAGTTTCGTACAACCGTTCCTTAATTTTTGACCCCACAGCAAAAAATGTCTAGATCCGCCCTTGATAATAAGACGACTACAATATCCTTCGCTTCAATGTTATCATGTTTAGATTTCAAAAGATTATGTAAAAATATGTAAAATTCTAAAATCTCAAGTCAAATTGCATGTTCAATAATTCATCCAAACGTGCTTGTGAACAACATTGAAACCAATGTTATAAAAATCAAATCGGACCAGTCGGTTCAACCAGAAAATCATGCACCGACCTTTAATTCGGTCCTGTACTTGTACATTAACCGAAAAATAAAGAACCCACTAATAAACCATCAACCCAGCCGGTTTAACCATGAACCAGAAAACTGGCTACGATTTTTCTTAAGTGATTTAATTTTTTAATTTTTATTTTTTTTTGTCACAAAAACTTTTATCTTAATGAGCCACTCATTATAATTGAAGGCCCAAGTAGTTTTTTTTATACTCGTGATTCTCCTTTATACAAATGAAAATTGGAAAACCGTTCACAATTTTTCCGGAGTTATTTATTTATTTATTTTATTTTTATTTTTTTGTCACAAAAACTTTTAACTATCTTAATGGGTCACCCATTGTAATTGAAGATCCAAGTAACTTTTTTATACAAGTGATTCTACTTTACCTCTTTTTTAAAGGAGACCATTTTTTTAATATTTTAATAATTTTCCAATATGGGATACTGGCTCTTTTTTATTGGAGACTTTTCTTTCAATGTTGTGGTAATCTTCCAATATGAAATATTAGTCAATTGTCAATTCTAAGTGTTTACTAGTTTACTTTATCATTTTCATTAACAAATTATAAACCCCAACAAGATTATAATTTTTCAATTTGAACAAAGCAAATTATTTTGGACATATTAATTGTTAGTTTTCGAAATTATAAAATAAATTACTATAATAAATCTAATTAAAAAAGATGGATTATATTTACTTTGAATGAGAAAACTAAAATTTAAAAATCTATTATAATTATGATATTTTATAGTTTATTTGTGTATTTTATTTATTTAATTTGTCATCCGATTTGATACCTGTTCGACCCCAATTTGATCATTTAAACCTCGACCCTCTTCCTTTCGGATCGATGCTCAAGTCGATTTTTAGAACATTGATGGAAACAGAGATGCGCGTGAATGTATCAATTTAACCATAATTTTCAACGATTCATTCCAATGTGATTCCGTCAAACACGCGTAGTCGACAAATTCTGGACCATAAAAATTCATGAAATTAACATAACCAATCAAGTAATATTTAACGTCAGTTAAGTGAAAAAGATGTTTCCACGTAATTAATATCAATTAAGAAAGTCATTTTTCATCATATTTTTATATTTAATATTTCGTTAACTAGAAAATCTTGTCCTTGATCACAGTTTTCATTTCAAAAGTACCGTTAGAATGCTTTAAAATAATGAACAATTATTTAATTTTAAATTTCTTTTACTTAATTAAAAATTACGAGTGGCAAATATTCTTATTTTTAACCTTTCATTGACTAACAAATTTGTACTTAATCATTGTTTTCTTCCCAAAATAATGTTAACATGCTTAAAATGAAGGATAATTATTTAATCTTAATATTGTATTTATTTATTTATTTTTGACTTATTTAGAAACACGAGAGACAAATAAGTGGTTTTACTCCATTTTAATGATTTGTTGGACATAAATAATCATCAGGTACAACTATGTTAATTTGAAAATGAAAATTTAACAAGAAAACAGTAAATGTGATAAGTACAAGTTTATGAACATTTTATGCAATTAAAATGTATGCTGATTATTAAAATATGATGGGATATATTGAATCATAGTATAATTTATATAGTAATATTCATTATATTTTTATATTTAATTTTTATACGGTATGCTGCAAACACATGCATATATTAGGTGACATATCGGAAGTGAAAGATTTTACATCAATCCTAAATTAATTTTCTTAATTTCTAAACGATTAATAATGAAGTAAGAATTTTGTTTCCTCCAATATTTAATTATTAATCTAACACGAGCTTGTTTAATTTTATTATAATCTTCTTATAAGCACTTAATCATTAATTTAAAACTAATCGTCAATTTATTGACTTTGTAATGCTTATGAAAGCTCTGACGTCATCTCCAGGCTACTAGTAATTTGTGCCTTGTAATATTAGAAACTTCTGTTAGACCGTTTTGGTTGTTAGAAGAAAGAATACAACTAACATTTGGTCTCTGCTGACATTTTGTCAATTCTTGTAAAATTATATTTTTGTATGTTCAATTCATCTCTCGTCCCCATTTCTATTGTACAAACATGTTAACCCGATTTTAGTTTCAAAAAAGACAGTCGAAATACTGGTCATGCCCAATCTTTAGTGTTTGACTGTTTAATTTGTATTGACGTCAAAATTTTTGATACGAAGCGTGTTTTTACAAGTGTGACACGCTTTCAAATGTTGTAGACTAATTCGATAACGTTGGCAATAGACATGAAGAAGCAGAAGAAAATGAAATAGAAAAGTGAAACCTTGAAAATCAACTTTCCCAATTCATTCAAACTTGGTGCACAGGAAAAGTCAGTCAAAGTACAACCTAATTTATGTATTTAACTCCAACGTTCCAAAAAGGCGCGCAAAGAGGAGAAACCTCAGCCAATTCCGAGTCCTCCCTTTTCCTCGGACTCCCGTGTTTTTAACTCTTTCTTCTTCCCCTTAAACAAATCAAAACAAAATTCAGTTCCGTCAATCTACCCTTGTAATCCAAGATAATATATTCAATTTTTCAGTTTTCTTTCTGTTAATATCCAACAGAGTGCTACATTTCAGTGCTTAATTTTCAGACATGGAAAACACACGACAATCTCTGATCCCAACATTTCTTTATTCTTCCTCGTCCACATCGAAAGGGATGGGAAAAAATCTGATGAAGGATATGAACTCACCCGTACAGTCTGATTCAATTTCGTCAGCATCATCGACGGCTGGGATTAAGAGGGATTTTTTTATCCCGGCGCCGAAAGAAAGTAGTATAAAGATGTTTTCGCCGGCTTATTACGCCGCCTGCACGGCTGGAGGGATATTGAGTTGTGGGCTCACTCATACGGCTCTCACCCCACTTGATCTCGTCAAGTGTAACATGCAGGTTAAGTTTCATCTTTTCTTCTTGAAATTCTTCTTCTATAATTATTGATTTTCTCCGGGACTTGATGAGTCGATTTACTTACATCTTGTTTTTATTAGTATATCGAGAGTTACTACATGTATGGTTGCAAATCATGGGTTCGATTTTTACAGCCAATTTTTCCTTAATTTTTTGTTCAATTTTTAAACGATGGAATGTTTTCAAATCATATTGGCACTTATTTTCTTGTTATTCAAGTAACATTGGAAATTCATAAGCTTTTTCATTAAGGAAAAAGTTGCATGACATAAATTGACGGGTAAAACGTGAATCTTGAATGCCATTCTTGATTGTTGAAAATTTAGATAGAAATCAAAGGAAAACATAGCATTCCTCTATGTCCATTTATTTTCTTGTACATGGTTAACATTTGAAATGGTTGTGCTTAAAGTAGGTCAAACTTACTTTTAAGTAACTTATTTCACGAGTATGATTTTTATTCTAGAAATTAAGTCAGTCTTAATTTCTTGAATAATAACTTTTCTAGCCAAACATGTTGATCATGAAGAGAGAATAAAATCAACAAGTTCAAAGAAATCCATATCTAAATCTTTATATATATCAAATTTATGTCTACTTTTTTTTTTTTTTTCAGATTGATCCATCAAAATATAAGAGCATTAGCTCGGGTTTTGGAATTCTGCTGAGGGAACAGGGAGTTAAAGGTTTTTTCAAGGGGTGGGTACCAACCCTGATTGGATACAGCGCACAGGGGGCTTGCAAGATGGGATTCTACGAATTTTTCAAGAAGTACTACTCCGACATTGCTGGTCCCGAAATTGCAGCCAAATATAAGACCTTGATCTACCTCGCAGGATCTGCATCTGCTGAATTCATTGCCGATATTGCCCTTTGTCCCTTTGAGGCAGTTAAGGTTCGTGTCCAGACTCAACCCGGCTTTGCCAGAGGCTTTTCTGATGGACTTCCCAAGTTTGTTAGGGCTGAAGGGGTTGCTGGGTATGTACTATCCTTACATGTGATTACAATTCATTTCTATATTCCTTTACCTTTGCGACACCTTTGCTAAGGTGGATTAGATAGTAGTGGGCAATATTCCATAAGAAAAAAGTTCAAAAGTTATATATTATACTGTCTAATATAATCTAATACTGTATATCAAACATGCGATTTTTGCCTGCAAATTTTGATAAAGTTAAAGAGACTTTTACAATGTGCTATTACAGACTCTATAAGGGGATTATTCCACTCTGGGGACGTCAGATTCCATGTAAGCCAACTTAACATTAGTCTTTCAGATTTATTTATATTTTTCTGATCTTTAGACTGGTGTGCGTGCGTGCTTGTGTATGTGTGTAAATGCATGTGCACGTGTTATTTGTCTGTCTTAAAACAAATAAGTGAAAAAGATTACTTTTAAAAATTATTACAGTCGCATTGGGTTTATTGCAGATACAATGATGAAGTTTGCGACGTTTGAGAATATTGTTGAACAAATATACAAACATGCCATCCCGACTCCAAAAGACGAGTGCAGCACAAATTTGCAGCTTGGTGTTAGTTTTGCCGGTGGCTATGTGGCTGGAATTTTTTGTGCTCTTGTGTCTCACCCTGCTGATAACTTGGTGTCGTTCCTCAACAATGCCAAGGGAGCAACAGTTAGCGATGTGAGTATCAGAAGTCGTATTCCCTTCATCAAATTCGCACTTTTTTTTTTCCATTACATGTTTTCTTAATCGAAAATTTTCAGGCTGTGAACAAGCTTGGTTTATGGGGTCTGTTCACCCGAGGTCTTCCTCTTCGTATAGTCATGATCGGGACTCTAACCGGAGCTCAATGGGGCATCTATGATTCTTTCAAGGTTTTCGTTGGGCTGTAAGTTTCTTCTTCCTCTTTTTGTACTAGCTTCATTTGCAGCAAGCGTCCCTATAAATAAATTGAAGTACCAATATCTGTGTCATGTTTAAAAAAGTTTTAGTATGCACCTTTTTTCGCTACGTGGACTATCTTGTCATTTTACCACAATGTCCATAGTAATCTCACCTTCAACATAGAAGGAAATTTGTAGGAATCTATATATTTTTTTGCTTATATGACAATTGGAACCCGATATTCTTGCAGGCCTACTACAGGAGGTGGAAGCCCAGCTCCTGCAAAGAACTAAAGCAGAAAGCTTTTAAAAGAAAGCAAGAATCCATTGTCTTCTGAGTGAAGTATTTTTGCAGTATACATACGACCAAAGACACGTTTAGGATATACGTGGACAGGGATTATACACACTATATATAGTAGTATTTGTTTGATTGTTATATTTAGAATTTGCAGTTATGTTTGGTGTTTCGGAGAACGATTTTGTTCCTTCCTCTGCAAAGCGATTCATTAAGATATATGGTCTAGTGTTCGAGTCGAGTTCAATGTCTTCGACAATAATTTTGCCTCTCATTTATCATTTGATGTTTATTTTACCATTCGCCATTCTCTCTTTCGACGACCAGTCATAAAGTTGAGATGGGCCGCATTGGCCCCCCAGGGCACATCCAAGTTGGCGGAACAATCACATTGGGGGGCTCTGGAACCAAGTGTGGGGAGTTCGATTCCTGGTTGGAGCAGCCAAGTGATGTAATAACCAGAGGAAGGGTTGGAGCAACTTGGTGATGTAATAACCATGGAGGAGGGTCCCTTTAGGGAAAGAGTAAAAGCCATGTGGGAACCTGGGAACCAACAAGGGCACAACTTGCGATTTACCTCCACTAGTCACTGAGGGGCCGGGGGCTAGAGGTCCAGGATTTAGTCCGGCTAAGTTGGGACACCTGGGCTATCAAAAAAAAA